CCCTATATAATATTTGTATTTTATGGCAAAAACCGGGAAATTTTAACACAATTTTTAGGTATGTACATGGTGCTAAGTTTTTGCATACACTAATATAGATGACTAGGCCGTATGGAAAAACAGTTGAGCAGACTCAAAGCCCTCGTCGAGGGCTAAAAGATGATCGTGCGTGAAATTCTCATTATATGAGATATATATATATATATATATATATATATATATATATATATATATATATATATATATATATATATACATATATATATATACATATATATATATATATATATATATATAATTAAATTGACGAACGACCCCCTTAATATTATGTGACGTTGTAGACCGACCCTGGAGGGTAACAAAAAAACTTTATTCCCGTCGGAAACAGCCATTATAGTCGTTAAATGTGTTCATATACCGTAATTTCTTATATAAGCATAGCAACGTTTTGTTAAAAAAAAGTAAGCAAGACATACGTCATACGTTCAGTTTTCAAGGGATGTAACGTTTTTAAAATTATTATTTTTCAAATATATGTATACTATTTTGAACAGAAACAAAAAATGACGAAGTATAGCATTTGTTTTGGTACAAAATTAAGTTGTTAATTCAGTTACGTATCCTAATTAAATAAATTAATTAATTATAAAAGGCAATGTAACATAAATTATGAGATATGCTGTTCATGGAACCTGTGTAGTTCTAATTCCATTTTAGTTATACATTGCGCACTTTCCATTATATCTCTGAGAACGGAATTTAAACAACAAACAACATTTTTCTAAACTTAGCATTAGATCAGTATGTGTATTAAAGAGACACTTCTCCCAAGGTCGTTTCTGTTTCTGTCCATGGGTGGCTACAGTGTGAACTTTTGACTCCGCAGCACACTAAACTAAGCAGTCAAGAGAAACCTAGTTTGCACACCTTATTTTAATCTAGTTCTTATGCCATTTTATTCTCTCCATTTGATTATTATATATGCAATTGATGTTCATTGTTCATGTCTTTGACGCTGTGTAAAATCTATCAAATAATTATTACTGATTTAAATGTTTAAAAGAATTGAATTAAAAAAAAAAAAACTGTTTGAGGACTGTACAGATATAGATATTTGAAAGGGAAGAATGTTTGCTTTGATGTGTCTCATTGTAATAACATAACTTTTCCGATTGCTTAGAATTTGTATAATTTTAATTCTTGGTAATCCCATTTTTTTTCAGCTCTACTTAAAAACCCAAATTCCAACCACCCCCCGTCCCCTCAGCCCACCACGCACTCCGAGAAAAAAAATATTCCTTGAATCATCATTTAATTACACATTTGCATTTTCAGTTTCAGCTCTACTTAAAAACCCAAATTCCACCCCCCCCCCCCCCCCACCCCGTCCCCTAAGCCCACCACGCACGCCGAGGAAAAAAAATCCCTTGAATCATCATTTAATTACACATTTGCATTTTCAGTTTCAGGTTGGTTTTTAATGTTTATTTCTTTTCTTTATATTTAGACGTTTTGTATTAGATCTATGTATGAGTAAACCATCTTAAATGAATGAAAGCAGGCTACAAGTAAGAAAGAAATATTGCTATTGTAAATCTGTATCAGTCCTCACAAGCCGATGATGAAAACTGTAATACTAAAGCGAACACACAACTGACGCTATACATTACGTGTCTGAGGCAAAAAAAAAAAAAAAAGCATTACTAATTAAATTTAAGTACTCCACACCCAATCCATCGCTAAATAATTAAGTATTCAAATTCTCAAATGTTTTTTAAAACCCTAAGCGAAGCTAGGCAGTATGCCTAGTATATATATATATATATATATATATATATATATATATATAGAGAGAGAGAGAGAGAGAGAGAGAGAGAGAGAGAGAGAGAAAGAGAGAGAGAGAGAGAGAGAAAGAGAGAGAGAGAGAAAGAAAGAGAGAGTGAGAAAGAGAGAGAGACGTACTTTCTGTGGTAGAAAAAAATGTGTGTGTACGATCTTTATTATGATGTCCGCCTTGGGAAGCCTCGCTCTGGCCTTGATTTTCTCCGGGAGAGGCCTCTTTCTGGCGTTGATTTTCTCCGGGAGAGGCTTCGCTCTGGCGCTGTCCTTCTCCGGGAGAGGCTTCCTTATGGCAACATCCACACGATACAAGCGTTTTGCCCGCGCCGTTCTGCAGTTTTAACACGCACTGGAAAGCGACGTAGCAGATAATAGTCACACTCAGGACTATGGACCCTAATAACGTGTATGTCCAGCCTCCAACTGAGGAAAACATTTATTATCTCAAAGATAATGTATAATATATTAATGTATAATATAATATGCTGTATACAGTGATTGTGAATGTAGTGATTTACATTTAAAACGTCATTTTTCATACTTTTTTCGTCATCCAGCATCACTCTTGTTATAGTTGTATCATTTGTTGCTGTTACTTTTCCAAAACACATATTGAACATCAAGATGGCAGCTAGACTCTAAAGAAAAACAATTATTTACGAGTTGGCTAGTGTCACAGTTTTATTAATAAAGTATTAAAGTTGTGTGTAGGAGTGATATGCCTTTTTTGTTAGTGAGTATTGGTATTACTGGAGAGGGATAGTGGTGGTGTCAATTTCTCCTACTTACACTTATTAAGTGTTGCTCTAAATTCACCAGCACGTGATATTAAAACTAAAACAAAAGAGAATCTAATATATAAAGCTCAATTCTGTATGTAAAATGTTTGTAATAATTTTGTCGTGGATACTTCGATGGATTTAAGTGTTAGCTTATTATAGTGCTTATGGTCTAAATTTATGAGTTAAAAAATTAATACTGAAAGTGTTGGGAAATAATTTTCATTTTTGAAAACTGATAGTAATAATTGTCGGCATGTTCATTAAACACAATTTCTAAAAAATATCATCTTTTACAAAAATTCTAATTATGTCTGAAAATTATTTATCTTTAGTCTTTTAGCACTTACTTCTCTTTGATTAATTAGGAAAACACAATTACTTCCCTTTATAAAACATTGCATTAGTGGAAAAGAATTTACTTTTTATTACTTCGTTTTGGTGTTGGGAAAAAAATAATTACATAATTAGCGGGGATTGATCAAGTGCAAATGTTGTAGGTATTTTACGGATAAGCTTGGAGTATTATAATCATTTGGTTTGGTTTGGCACCTACATTCGTTTAAGTGAGTGCAAAAGACTATGAATAAGTTGGGGTACAATAGTCGTTTATTAAGCTGAAACAGGCGATTCTGGACACAGCGATTGTGATCATACACCCATTTATAGATCACCTGTGATCAAAGACCCTCTGCCGAGAAAACACCTGTGGTCAAACCCCCTATGGTCAAACCCCCTATGATCAAACCCCTATGGTCAAAGCACCGCTATGGTCAAAGGCCCAAAGGCCCGCTGTGGTCAAACTCCCTATGGTCAAAGCCCCTATGGTCAAAGCTCCGCTGTGGTCAAACCCCCTATGGTCAAACCCCCTATGGTCAAAGCACCTGTGGTCAAAGGTCCGTGCACTTTGGAAAGATGTTGAGAATATTCCTGGGGAGGTTTCTGCGCTAAAAACATTTTCAAATTCGCAGCTGTGGCGCCCAGGTATGGCGCGATTTGTTTTTTCTCTATATACGGTTTATAAAAATAAAAGTCTATTTCTGTTTCACACCGTTCATCCGTGTACAATGAAACTTTGGGGAGTTGGTTAGATCACTCAATGGTAAGGTTCTGCAAAAAAAATAATTTTTTAATATTGCAAGGGCGGTGCACCCCCGGGGGGGGGGGGGGGAGCGATTTTTTTTTCTATACACGGTATTTAAAAAATAAAACTCGGATGCGGTTCATCCGAGTGCCATGAAACTTTAGGGAGTAGATGAGAATACTCCCGAGAATATTTCTGCGAAATAGAAAACTAAAGTTTTTTATGGGCGGCGCCATGTAGAGTACAATTTTCGCGTCAATACACGGTTTGGCGCCCAGAGTTTTAGAGCGACTATGTTGGCACTTGGCATCCGTTAATAGAGCGTCCTGCATAGAGAGCAAGGGGTACTACTATATTCAGCGGTAAAACTTCAACAGGCTTCTAAAAATAACTTTGTAACGCGAGGAAATCCTGTACAGTTTCGTCACCTTGCGAAAGATGAAAAAATAACTTTTTGAATATGAGGAGCCTACTGTAGAGTTTCTTCACTTTGCGAATGATGCAATAAGCATCTATTATTAGACGATCCAGTCAGAAATTGAGCATCTAATAATAGACCATTAGTAACGCTAGCATATTGCATCAGTCACCCTGATGTTTAAAACACGTCAAATAATTTTTTTACGTGTTAAAGAAAAAAAATCCTATTCATTTGTGTCACTTTAGTGAACGACAAAATCTGCATCATTGTTTATAAAATGCTTTTTGGCACACTGGGTTATCCTATGAGCACGATGGCGCCTGTTAGTTTTAAGGAGCCAGGGGCCGTATGCTGCGCCTGTGCGGTAGTGTAATCAGGGGGTCGGGGGCACCTCTATGTCTCTGACACATGGGCGATCACCGAAGTGTGTTCTAACATTATTTCGGTGAGTGATTAATGTACACTCAAGGTTTTCATGCGGTAGTGTAGGAAAACCCGTGTCCCGATAATTATTATCGAAGCGCAGACATTGTTTACATTTAAATAACACAGTTTTAGAAAACAAGGTCACGCGTCTAAGAACATATGATTGGTAATGCATTGGTGATATCCTTCTAATATATTTTGTCAGACTTCCTTCTATCCACGCGGCAACGCGCGGGGGACGGGGACGCTATTATATATATATATATATATATATATATATATATATATATATATATATATATATATATATATATATATATATATATATATATATATATATATATATATATATATATATATATATATATATATATATATATATATATATATATATATATATATATATATATATATATATATATATATAATCTTGTGGCAAAAAACAATTTACCTTAATAAATGGCTTCCTTGTGTTTTGTGCCTTTTTCAACAACAGCAGTAAAATAAACAGAGCCACCACTTCACTTGAAATAAAATCTATGGACGATAGTGAGGGTAGGCAGGGGTTTAAAGGGTTTTTTTTTGTGACACTACTGTCTGTTGTCCTAATACAATGGCATTGTGACGGCAAAATCATTTACCACCGTTTTGTGCAACCACCACCTGTCCTGCGATATTACTCCCCCCTGGTCACTTCATACCAGGGCTAGACCAGAGACAGGATAAGACTGCGACAGTTACTCATCCCTTTGTCTAAAAGGCTTATGTGACAGGTTCATTCCCCCCCCCCCTTCCCTTCAAATGGATGCCTGAAAAAAGGCTACGTGCACAGCCAAATATAATGTATATAGAAAATACATAATTTTACCAATGCTAACCCCTACTGGAAAATGTATTTCTACCGCCCCACAGAAATTTTAAAGTGCCACACAAACCCCCCCTCCCAGGAGAAAAAAAAATATTTATATATATGGTGCACCGCCAAAACGGACCCTTACAAATCGACCCAAAACGGCCCCGTTAATATGACCCCGTCAAATCGATTCCCCGACAAAACGACCCCGTCAAAATAGACCCGTTAAAAGGGCCCCGACATTTTGGCTCCCGTCAAATGTGCTCCAGTCATACTGACTCGCAACATATAGGCTCACGACAAATGGCCTCCCAACATTTTGGCTCCCGACAAATGGACTCCTGAAATATTGGCTCCAGGCAAATAAATCGTAATACCCTTTTCTTGCACAAAAGTAACCATTTTGTCCTACATCCACTACCACTATAACCTCTTTTAAATGCCTGCATGAAACTTTTTCATCAACCAACATCAATTCACAAAAAAAAAATCTAGCCCTTAACAACTAAATTCTACGAATTCTAAAATTGTGATTATGTTTAACCCTTTCAGGACCAAGGGACACCGGTGTCCCAAATATTCAAATTCTCACCAAATGAAATTGGAGCAACATAGAGTTGTTGAATTTGCTTTAAAACATTTATTACATGATAGACTTACTATAAATACAGTTGCTTTCAGTATATATGAGATAGTTTTGTTGTCATAATTATGGGAACTTTGCATTTTTAGACCACTCGCAAAGCTACAGTTTACATTTTTATATAAAAAATACTAACTGTAACAAAAAGAAATTACTGGTGGTTTTTCAAAGGTTTACTATTTAGGTATTATATTTACATTTGTTTTTCCTAATAGCTTTGCTTGTTTTTTTTTTAAAGTAATTTTTTTTGCTTGGGACATATATGTCCCTACGGTCCGGAAAGGGAGCTAACTTTTTTTACAATGTTGCTAAGCATGAGTGTTGGCATTAGAATACAAATAGTTGCAAAGCTTTTATTTATTACAACTGAACAAAATGCTGTGCAAATACTGTTTATTTACAATAAAGACGATGAAAACAACTTGCTTCTTTATGAAAAAGATGTGAATTTTCTGTAGAAATATGCCGACAAAGTAAGTGTAGAAGCTATAATCAAACGACTTGTTCAAGTCCAAGAGCAGATTGTCACTACTACGATAAGCCCTACACCTTATTCTAGTCATCCCTTTTTTTGCATACATTGCATACATCGTCAATCTCACATGCTATAGTGACTAATATTCCCTCAAATCTGCATGGTCCGCGCAGTATTTGTGAACATGCCGCGCTGTCATTTCGTAAAATACATGTTACCTTGTATGAGATTTTTAGAACACCGCGCACAAAAGATATACGATGTACACTAGACTTTTTCCCTCAGAGGGAGCGTTAATAGTTACAATTACCCCTCCGACATCCCCCGCCCGATATTACCACCTCCGAGCAATTACCCCTCGTCCAGTTATGGATAAGTTAGGACGAGGGTTAGGTTAGGGTTATCTAGTTTTAGGGTTAAATGTAGATTTACAGTTGGAGTTAGGGGTTTTGTTAGGGTTAGCCATAGGCTTGGAGTTTGGGGTTAAGATCAGGGGTCTTCAGCATCGGTGGGGGGGGGGGGGGGAGTGGAATTTGACGGGGTGGTAATGTCCTAGACCCGAAGCTGACGCATATCATTATCATCAATAGAACTAGACTTCCCCAAAACATGAACAACCAAACGTTATTGTGATAATTGAAAAAGGAGAATGGAGCAAGATATTATTTTCAACTAGAGGCTTCTGAAAACACAGTTTCCAAGAAAAGTTATTGACTATGGTTATAGGAAATTGACAATAGATGTTGATTGAAATGAAGATCCTAATGATTTTAGGCAATTAAATCCATGTTTCATACATTGATAATTTATTTTCAAGATAATGATTTGGATTAAAAAAGCCATTGATACTTATTTTTGACAAAAATTCAACGCTGGCTACAAATCAAAACCAAGCTTGAATATATGCAAATGATAGCAAGAGCTCACATTTAGGGATTACATCAAAGAGATATCACCTCAAGACCTGTTCGTAGAGGCAAGAATTTCACTTAAACCCCACCACAGGTTGATAAATCAAAGGAAGAAAAACGCAGGAGTTATGCACAATGTGCAACAGAAAAGATTGAGAACAGAGCGGACAATATGTATTATATCTGCCATGTTCATGTATGTTATATAACATCACGTAACTGCTTCCACATGCCCCATTCACAGATGACTATACACTCATAAAGGACATAAATGTGTTCTCAATACTGCAAATTTTCAATTTCAAATGTACCAGAACAACTAACACACGTTAGATCACTTTTAGAATAAACATATTGACAAAACTCATAACATAACCTATTTTCGATAAATTTCCTTTGAGGACCGTAGGGACACATATGTCCCATGCTGTATCTCAAAAACTATTGAAGATATCGGAAAACCGTTAACATTTTTGAAATCTACGTGTCATTTTACTACTAAATGTGTGCACAGATATTTGAAATTATGCCTGTAATCCTTGTGGTCCTGAAAGGGTTAATTTAGAACAGTAAGGATATGTTGGTCAAAAGCGAGCACAGAATTGTAAATGTACGATATACATGATGTTTACATGATAACAGCATCTTATTTTGATAACCTACAAGCATACTGCAGGTATGAATGTACAGCGTGGACCCCTCTCCCCACACAGTGATTTGGAACAGCCTATAACCGACTCAATTATAGAAGTCATAGATCTTTTGCCCTTAAATTAAACCATACTATATTTTATAATAGATAAACTATTATAAAAATAAGACCTGCCGAACAAGAGACTCATACGATGTATTAATTAAGAGTGTTGGATAAGCTAACTCTAAAGAATATTGATGAAGGGTTCCCTCTGGCAGGTGTCATATTCAATGAGAACGTTTTACCGGGAGTCTACTGAATCCATATTGTCAGTGGTCCTTTAGTCGGGAGCTAAATTGACAGGAGCCTATTTGTCGTGAGTCAAAATGACGGGAGCCTATTTGTCGGGAGTCGTAATGATGGGGGCCGTTTTGTCGAGACATTAAATGACGGAGCCTATATGTCGAGAGCCTTATTGACTGAAGCCCTTTTGTCGGGAGCCTATATGACGGGAGCCTATTTTTTGGCAGCCGTGATGACGGGGTCCATATGTCGCTGGCCCTTTTGACGGGGTCGATTTGACGGGGTTCTTATGTCGGGGCCTATTTGTCGGGGTCGTCTTGACGGGGCCGTTTTGTCAGGGGTCACTGCCTCATGTATATATATATATATATATATATATATATATATATATATATATATATATATATATATATATATATATATATATATATATGGTTCCATGACAAATGATCTCAGGACAAATGATCTCAGACAAAATATCTCAGACAAAATATCTCACGGACAAATGATCTCAGGACAAATGATCTCAGGACAAATGATCTCAAGGACAAATGATCTCACGGACAAAAGATACCAGGACAAAATATATCAGGACAAATGATATCATGGACAAATGATCTCAGACAAAATATCTCAGACAAAATATCTCACAGTAAAATTTTAATAATGTATTGTTTGATTTTAGTTGATTTGAACTTTTTTAAAATTAAATTTCAATATAGATTTGTTTACTTTTTAACGCATAATAAATGTGAATAAAATGAATTTGTTTAACTGAACGAAGCATCAAATGATTTATGAAATTTAATCTTTGTAATAGCGTTTGATTTGAAAAAAATTAAAACAAACTTACTCCTTTAGCCTGAAAGGTATAACAAATGATAATGTATAAAACAAATAACATAACATTAATGATCAGAACACGCTAAATATTTTTGAAAAATATGAATAGGTCTTCAGGTTCGTAACGTAATACTATTATTTTTATTGCAGCATCAACTCAAACATAACGTTTACTTTTCTTTGCTGGCAGGTGCATGATTATGATCACACCTCTCCAATACTATGTGATCATGTATTGTGTTAACTCTAGCTCGACATGTTCTAACTTCACATTTCAAAATCTCTTTGACTGCTGCTCCACTTCTGGCTTTAATAAAAAAAAATCACCAGAAACTAATATCTTAAAACCTTTCTGCTGGGTAACTTATGAGGCCATAGCTGAGTAAGCACTTCCAATACTGCTTTGTTTTCATGCACAGTAAAACAAACTTAGCTCCGCGATTACCGCTGATTATTTAAATAAACATTTGTCACCTGATCACTAAGGTGTGACCGACGCTTACCCATGGACCTTAGATGCTAGTTGTATTGTCCATGGAGGGGGGTTGTCTTTCCCTAAAGGCATGTCTCTGCTATCAAAGCGGGCGGCCACCTTGATACTAAGGTGTGTCTTTTTTGTTATTTCATCCCCTTTTATCTAGTTTCGTCCACCTGACGTGGTAGGATTGTCTCATGTTTGTCAATCCCCTCTCCCCTACGCTATCTATCGACAAAAATTCTTTAATCTTCGCATACTGTATTAGAAATCTTAATTTTAAAATGTTTAGTACAATATGAAAAATTTATACGGCAAACATTTCTTACAATTATTATATAGGCCCATAAACAATATTAAACATAGTAAACAAAACCATTGGATAGTCAATAAAAAAATGTTCAGATCAACTAAAATCATCCAATACACTATTAAACTTTTGCTGTGAGATATTTTGTCTGAGATATTTTGTCTGAGATCATTTGTCCATGGTATCATTTGTCCTGATATATTTTGTCCTGGTATCTTTTGTCCGTGAGATCATTTTTCCTTGAGATCATTTGTCCTGAGATCATTTGTCCTGAGATCATTTGTCCTGAGATCATTTGTCCGTGAGATATTTTGTCTGAGATATTTTGTCTGAGATCATTTGTCCTGAGATCATTTGTCCTGTCACCATATATATATATATATATATATATATATATATATATATATATATATATATATATATATATATATATAGGCCTACATGTTATAGTTTGTCTGAGATGTTCTTGCGATATCGTTTGTATATATGCATGTGTGTTTGTGTGTATTTGTGCCTATTACCTGCCGTTACGTCGTCAGCCGTTTTGACATTCTTTCTCCGACACTCTGATTCAAATTCGTATTGTTCGCACGAGCCGACAATCACGCCAAATGAATACAACGCTGTTAGTTTTGCTGGTGTGACTGTTAGGATGAAAGTAGGTTAACTTATCTATTGTCTGGGGTATGATTGTCTGGGACATGATTGTCTGGGACATGATTGTCTGGGGTATGATTGTCTAGGGTATGATTGTCCGGGGTATGATTTTCTGGGGTATGATTGTCTGTGGCATGATTGTCTGGGGTATGATTGTCTAGGGCATGATTGTCTGGGGTATGATTGTCTAGGGCATGATTGTCTGGGGTATGATTGTCTGGGGTATGATTGTCTAGGGCATGATTGTCTGGGGTATGATTTCCTGGGGTATGATTGTCTGTCACATGATTGTCTGGGCCATGATTGTCTGGGGTATAATTGTCTAGGGCATGATTGTCTGGGGTATGATTGTCTGGGGTATGATTGTCTGGCCCCTAACTACATCATAGATATATATATTGGACAAGTACACATACATACATTCAAATCACAGCACACATTCAACAATACTCAAGAAATAAAACCGAAAAATGATCAGAGATAAAATAGGCAACGAATGTCTGAAGTTGGTTACTCATGGCTAAAGTCACAAGAGTTAGCTAAAGCACAACACAACAATCTATTGCTACAGTCGTGTAATTTAATACAGTATCAAAGTCACGTAATGAAATATCACAGTCATGACACAAATCTCATTTATGTACAAAAATGTTTGTAACAGGAAACATTGAAAGTCAACTAAATCAAGTCACAGTCAAGCACAAATAAATAAGTCACTTGCCTACATTACAGCTACATTTGAACTATTGAACTTTATAGATTTACATACAAATTGCAAGTTCCACTAAGTACTCACCTCCCATAGGTTGTTCTCCGACTCTTCTGCCAGTACAGTTCTGAATGATGCAAGCCTGTTTCCTATTAGTGAAATTTAATTGGGAATCTTTCTACAGCTACTTGCTTTTATTTTTTTAACGAGAACAAAATCACGAATGGTTAATGTAATTTCGATTGATGAACATTGAGTCAATGACAGCTGAAAGCACACACTTTTAATATGTGGAAACATTTAAACAATGTTTGTAAAGAAGGAAAAGTTGAGCCGTAATTGTTAGTTAATTAGTTATTAGACATTAAATTTAAGTGTGTGACGATTAAAGTGTCTTTGAATTAATTAAACGTAAATTACTAGTATGTTTTCTCAAATCGTGATCAGAATGAACGATATAATCCGTCTAATCCAAGCTATCTGATCTAAAGCTGTACAAATGGCCGACAAAATGAATGGCGTCACTCAAATATATTCTGCTGATTTGGACAACTTTTAAATGTTTCACGGATCAACAGCGGTGCAGTAGGCACTAAAGTTAGCTACCCACCTATTGTGTAGGCACCAAAGTTAGCTACCCACCTATTGGGTAGGCACCAAAGTTAGCTACCCACCAATTGTGTAGGCACTAAAGTTAACTACCCACCTATAGGGTAGGCACAAAAGTTAGCTACCCACCTATTGGGTAGGAACCAAAGTTATCTGTCCACCTATTAGGGTAGACACCAAAGTTCGCTACCCACCTATTGTGTAGGAACCAAAGTTAGCTACCCACCTATTGAGTAGGCACTAAAATTAGCTACCCACCTATTGAGTAGGCACTAAAGTTAGCTACCCACCTATTGGGTAGGCACCAAAGTTAGCTACCCACCTATTGGGTAAGAGCCAAAGTTAGCTACCCACCTATTGGGTAAGAGCCAAAGTTAGCTACCCACCTATTGGGTTGGCACCAAAGTTAGCTACCCACCTATTGGGTTGGCACCAAAGTTAGCTACCCACCTATTGGGTTGGCACCAAAGTTAGCTACCCATTTATTGAGTACACACCAAAGTTAGCTACCCACCTATTGGGTAGACACCAAAGTTAGCTACTCACCTATTGGGTAGGCACCAAAGCTTGCTACCCACCTATTGTGTAGGCACCAAAGTTAGCTACCCACCTATTGGGTAGACACCAAAGTTAGCTACCCACCTATTGGGTAGGCACTAAAGTTAGCTACCCACCTTTTGAGTGCGATAGTAGAGAGTAATTCATCAGTGAATTGGCTTTCTAGCTGCTCCAAGTGTCCTGTATAGTGTACGCTGATTTCATTTTCCTCAACTAACGAAGTGAGTACGATCGAAGGCCCTATCCTGTTAGAAATGAACACCAGGTATTCGATACAGAGTGGGGATGGTAGGGTATGAAACGTAGGGGTGGGGATGTCAGGGTATGAAATTTGGGTGAAGGTATATCATAGTCTGTAGAGTAGGGGCGACAATGTTAGTGACAGGTTATGATTAGGCGATGTATGGTTGACACAAATTAATTTTATATTTGTGTTAACATTAATTGTTAACATTTTAAAAATATGCTGTACATTTTTCTTGAATAAATTGTATTTCTTTTTTTAAAAGCATCGGTACTCTGGATTAAACATTAGATATATTTATATGTAGGTCTGGTGTATTTGTATATTCTTGGTTCAAATATAGTGAGAACCATTTTTTGGTACGCGGACTTTTGCCCACAAGTGTTTTGACCATAGTGCATTTTGTTCTTTGATGGTTTGACCACAGTGTGGCTTTGACCATAGTTGTTTTGTGCTCAGAGGGTCTCTATAGAAGGGGGGGGGGGGGGTTGTTAAGAGGGGAGGTGTTCACATGTGATTTGTCTGTATGTGGTAAGGACTAACTAACAAGCTACTTATTGACGGTACATAGAAGAAAACGTTCTTAAACGGTGTCGCACAATCAAGCTATCCAGCTGAGAAGGTATACAGGATGCTGCACATTCAACGTGCTGTTCAGAACTTTGATCAAACATATGCACTGACATATTTGCGTGCTACTGAAATCTGCCATTTAGTTATTTATACAACTATTATTTCCTTAAATTTGATTATTAGCAAGATTTTTTATCCTTTACTTTATTATTAGATCTCCATTTTTTTAAATATCCGAAGCTTTTTTTTGCATTAATTATGTTCAAGTTTTTTAGAATAAATCTATTAGGCCTAGCACTAGCTTATAGGTGGATTAAAATAGATGTTAACTTTTTGAAGAATAGGTTAATTTCTATTTATGGCAACTCAAAGTAAATGTGTGTAAAGTGTGTTAATTATATTATACATTTCAATTAACTCACCGTATATTGTAACTGTTATAAATGCTACATTTCGTCGACCACCCCCTGTGGTCAGACCCTGCTGTGGTCAAACCCCTATTGTCAAACTCGTATGGTCAAAGTTCTGCAGTGGTTAAACGCCTATGGTCAAACCCCTATGATCAATGCCCTACCGTGGTTAAATACAAATGCCCAACGCCCCTACGGTTAAAGCACATTCGTTCAAAGCACCAAGGTCCATACTAACAATGTTAGTCTACCTGTTGTCTTACTGGGTAATAATGTTTGAAGCAGCATGAAAATAATTAACGCCAAAAGTTAACCCTTTGAGCCCTGGCCTCCCTGACCTAATTTCTCGCATTTCCTGAGCTCCCAGGGCCAAACAAAGTTTTACTTATCTGCTTCTAACTTGGCATATAACGTTTGAACCGTTTAAGATAATGAAGCCAAATTTGGTGTCCAGACTCAGGATCAAACAACAATGCAGCAAATTTCGGAAATTCTTTATTTTTTTTACTAGTATGAACAGAACAATGTATATAAAACGAACACACAATTATTATCAACACGCCAAGGAGACTGAAGTTTTACAGCACCACGTGCATCAGAACGTACTTGAACAGTTTCATTGTCACTGTCAATTTCAATGTCACTGTGTTCAGTCTCAAATTCAACGTCACTATCATCACAATATAGACCAGGAATATAATATTCTTCATCAGAATCAATAAGTAGTTGTAATGCCTGAGATGCAGTCATTCTACTTCTTTTGTTGATAGTTCGGTCTTTTGCTTCATCTTTTGCAACAACTTTATGTGATGAAGTCGATGGCTGCGGCTAAGCTTTTCGTTTCAGCGGCATTGCTACAAAATGTAAACACTTTCACTTTTCCTAAAATCTATTTTTAGAATCATAATCCCGCACTAAAAAGACATATGCGCAGTTTTAGTCAGTCTTCCGCTAATTATATTCAATTAGACGGTATACCGGCCGCTAGGAATATGACGCTAGATCATCGGGCCGGAAAACCGGCTTTTCGGACATATAACCTTTTGTTGAAGCCGGTTTACCGGCCTGGCGGGCTCAAAGGGTTAATATAGGGTAAAATCCGCTTAAAACCAAACAAAAGATCTGGCTCACTTTTATATTTCATAAATTAGTGTCGCAACCAATCAAAAGAAAGTACTGACTTTTGTTATTTAAGAATTATCCCTTACGGCAATCAAACAAATGAAATACGTGACTTTGGTATTCAAATTAATTATAATGTGACGAAACAAAAAAGACTTACTTTGGTACCAGAACAAATTATTGTGTGACGAAACAAAACAAGACTTACTTTGGTACCAAAACAAATTATTGTGTGACGAAACAAAACAAGACTTACTTTGGTACCTAAACAAATTATTGTGTGACGAAACAAAACAAGACTTACTTTGGTACCAGAACAAATTATTGTGTGACGAAACAAATTAAGACTTACTTTGGTACCAGAACAAAGTACTCCAAGCCCCAACCGGAAGTTAGTAAGGCCAGGAAACTGTCAGCCGAGTGGAGAGATATCGCCATAAACACCGTCATCCCAAATCTTTGTTTTCCTTTGGCGACAATAGACGTAGTGGTGTCACTTCTTGATATTCTAGGACACAATGGCAGAGAGTGAACATTCACAGCCCGTCGTCATAAAAATTCACAGTCCGAAGTCATAAATAATTGTAGTCTTAAGTTATAAATAGTTGTGAATTGTTAAAAATTTACAGTCCGACGTCGTCAATAGTCGCATTTCGAAGATATAAATTGTCGCAGTTCGAAGTTATAAATGGCCGAAGTACGTATTTTTAATAAGTCACAGTCAAACGGCAGATATTTCCCCGGAACGAAAAACTATTCCGCTGAAAATACCGATACACAGAAAACACAAAAATACTTACACATGTTTCCGCTGAACCACGTAAGTAGTGACCTGCAAACGGTTGAGAGTGAATCTTTCAAAAAAGGGGTTTTCCCACATCGGAGCCGTGACGTAAACATCGAATTTATTCGTCATGGTTGAGTACATCATTAGGATGGGTTGGCCTTCAGGCATGTATGGGAACTGTACCAGAAATTCTACTCCCATTTGTGAACCTTGAGCTGTAGTGGGGGAAAAAATTGTGCTTGTTAACGTATGGTAACTAAGCTATTTTTAGTTTTAGATTATTCACTATCATTGGCCCACGCTGCAGCTGAGATATAACATTCCGTCATCTTTTAGAAACAAAAATCTACCGAACATTAGAGAAGATAGGATGGAATATAGTGTGGAAATTCAGCGAGTAACGACAGACACACAAACACACAAATATATACATAAACGCACAATCACAATCACACAGACACGTTATATATGTATATATATATATATATATATATATATATATATATATATATATATATATATATATATATATACATATGCAGACCGATGCTACAGAACAATATGCTCTTAATTGCCATTGATTAACCGTGTTAATTAAACTCTTGAGACCTGCATTGTTTGCGGCCACTTATGTTTGTTTGACCAATCTTCACGTGCATCTGTGCTTTAGTTGTTAAGTCATTTTGGTTATGGCATAAGGATTAGTGTACTCATTTGTTATGATTCATCAATGTTTCATATACGGACATGTCACAGTTGATGTATATTGTAAATACACTAATATTTTGATACAATTATAAGATCTAGACTTCTATGTGTCTAGATTCTCTACACAGATTTACCTTCAACCTTTGAGATTAATCCCAAGCACACAATAACTAAAATGTTGATCATCCTTGAAAAATATGTAGGAGCCATAAAACTGCTTGCTTGTATGCTCGATGTACACAATAAATTATTAGCCTTTACACCCTGACACAAACGTAAGGCAGTCGGCCGAAAAGAGCAACATGTTTAGGTGCTGATGTTAATAAAATCCTAGCATGCTGAGTCTGTTCAAAGCTCGTGTAGACCAGCGCTTAGTGAGTTTCTGTTCTCCGTTTGCTTTTGCGCACCAAGTCTTTGATTTATTGTTTTCTCATGCCGCAGCCGATTACGTCATTAGTTGAAGAATTTCAAGATAGTAAAATAACACATGGTTTCATTATAAAAATAAATGAATCATTAATGACGCGATTATTCTACCGAACACCACCCTAGACGTACCAATGTAAGGAGCATAACTCTGTATCAACAAGTGAATACTTTCACAAAATATTTCACCAACATATATTCGGTATAAGTACAGTTTAAAAATTATCATTAAACAAAATTAAAAAACCCACGTTTTCTGATTGAACTAAAAAGTAGAAAAATAAATACTATACATCACAATAATAGAAGCGATCACTCTACTTTAAGCGATCGCAAACTGCGTGCACATTATGACAAAAAATGAAAAACGTGGGGCGCCGAAGTATTAGAAACTTGCCGTTGTATTATCAGTCAATTTCGGCTCCACTAGCAGCAGTTCGTTTTTTCTGCTTAGCAAGACGAGAGATCCTTTCTTGTTCTGTCTCCATCGCTAAAGCAGCAGATTTTCGGTTGCGATCTTTTTCAAGCTTCGTTTGATACTCAACTTCTTCCATAATTTTTGGTCGTTTAAGATGATTTTCCAATCTATATCCTGCAGGGCGCTTCTCTTGATACTTCTGGCGTTCCTTTTCCAATCGACGTTTCTTCTGTATTGCCGTTTCTTTCACCATTTTGCCCTCGCGTGCAAACCATTCGACAATCAACATTCTACTTCCGGATCAGTCAGATTTGCATAGGTTTGTACACAAGCACCGCGTGACCACACGATTGGGCGAGATATCACAGTCCTTAATTTCTCTATCTCCCCGCCTCCAGTCACAAAATCAACCTTCTTGCTTTCACCCCCAACCTTCAACTGTCCTCCGCATTCATCCCTACGCACCACCTTTCTCTCGCTCACAACACAGCCACTCTCACCCGACCAGTCGCTTCCCTTGTACCCTCGTTCACTCCGTACAACAACATACACGTCAACACACCCGGCCTCGCGTCACACTACATGATAAATACATACACGCAGTGACCCGTTCCACGTATTCACCTTTCATACACATTACATCACCACATTCAGTAAGCCAGAAGAGGAAAAGTACCGAACCTTGTTTTTATCAAAATAAAATTACTAGGTTATGTCCCTTTTTCTACAAATCAATAAGAGTAAAAAATGATCAATAAAATTTTTCCATGGATCAATTTAGTAATAATAATAATTGAATATTGTATTGTCGTCGGAAACAAAGCTTCCCTGAAAATTTCAGAGCGCTAGCTAACTGGGAAGTGCCCAAAATTTTGATCGCAAGATTTGATGGAAAGACAAACAAACAATCAAACAGACGCGAAAGCAAGTTAAAGAAAACGTTGGAAAATAAAAAAAAAATGTCAGAGAAAATCCTAAATGGGTCGTTTTGGGTAGTCATTTTTATTTATTTTTGTCTAAATATAAAACTACTATGCATCGAATTTAACAGTTAAATATCAATTTAGTTATGTTTAAGATATATAATTCGTTTAATACATGCCTAGATATGTTTAAGGCCTGTTTGTATTTTATTTTTAATGTTAAATCAACTAAAAAGCGGACAGATGAGTCTAAAATTTTGGGATGGAAAGAGACTCATTTGTATATTTCAAAATCGCCATTCACATTAGTAAAACGGAAAAGCATGCTGAAACTATCCTGTTTAGTTAAAGATTAGGATTTGTAGGCCCAATGTTTATGAAACAAATTTAACTTTTCTATGCGTATCGTAAGCGGGCGGCAGCGGTCGTTATGGGTCCTCGGAACTACTGTGTGTAAATGCTAAACATGCATTTATAATTAATGCATTTATAATTAATGCATTTATAATTAACGAGCCGACCCGCGGCATATCATACGCCGCTATTTAGTTGTTGTTTTATTCTACTTTTCAGTAATTCATAATTTGTGAATTCGACACTACCAACGCTGCCACTGAAAATATTTCTTTAAAACACTATAAGTAGCTCGTTAAGGACGATAACCACCCCCCTCCTCCCCCCTCCGTTAAAGTAAACTCCGCTTAGTTCCCCCCCCCCCCACGTTTAAAATCGTTTCTAACTAAATTATCTGCCCCTAATAGTCGTCACTAAACCCGGCTCTGTTTGTAAACATTTAGAGTGAACCACAGCTCACCAGACCATGTAGGGGTGGGGGGTGGTAGGGAGCGCGTTTACAGCTTGTTTTCTAGCGTCTCCCAGAAGAGAATTATATATACGAGCCGACCCGCTGCGTATCATACGCCGCTATTTAGTTGTTTTTTTTCTACTTTTCAGTAATTTATAATTTGTGAATTCGACAGTACCATTGCTGCCATTGAAAATATTTGCTTAAAAACACTAACCCCCCCCCCCTCCCACGTGAAAGCAGCCTCCTCTTAGTTACCACCTCTAAGTTTAAAATCGTTTCAAACTAAATTATCTGCCCCTAATAGCCGTCACCAAACCCGTCTCTATGATTGTAAAATGTAAACAGAGTGAACACCGCTCACCAGATCATGTGGGGGTGGGGTGGGGGTGGTAGTGATAGAGAGGAAGAGAGGGGACTGCAAAGGCGCGCTTGCAGCTTGTTTTCTAACTGATCCCAGAAGAGAATTATATATATATATAGATGCATTTATAATTGACTAACACACTTCGCTTTATAACAATATTGAAAGAGATTCATTAAGTTATTGGTTTAAAATAAAAAGACTACTGATGACGATTTAATTAAAGTATAGGCGTTTGAAGGCTGATATATTCGTAATGCATGTGCAATTAATTAAATATCTTTTAGAGATGGCTTAACTAGTAATGTACATTGACAATGCCAACGACAACAGCAGTGAAAATAGTATTGCATATAATCTTAACTTATTTGAAATATTTTTAAAATAAGAAACTTTTAAGTATAATAACTATTGCCCTAATATATTTTGCATGAAATGTAAAGAATCTAAACAAGTTGGCTGAATCTATTTAATGATTTTTAGAGAGAAGTATTGAAATACACCAACAGTGAAAACAGACCTTCCTAACCTATTCAACATTCACCGCCCGAAATAGACTATGCGGCTTACATTGTACATATAATGTTTGTATGTGTTAATATGTCATGTCTCCGTATGAATTGACTCAGAAAAACTTAAGCAATAACTACAACAAATGAAACAATTAATTTCTTCTTTAGGTAGTTGCAAATAGACACGCGTTCTCGGATGAGTGCAGATTGTGATCGTTATAGTCTTATATTTTAAACATTATGTTTTGTGTTACTGGCTAATTTAATTTAGTTTATGTACAAGCAAAAGGGTAAAGTTTAAGTCGTGTTGTTTTATTACATGCAATATTTTATTAATTTTATGTGTTAACAATTTGAAATAGATTGTCCAATATATCAAAAGCTCGTTGTTTTCTGTTATTTTTTCGGAATTGAAGTAGCAAAAAAGGGAAAAAAATTGCTCTGTCTAATTTTAAAAAAAAAATTATATACGATACACTTTACTGTAGTTTACAGTAGTTTACAGTAGTTTACAGTAGTTTATAGTAGTTTACAGTAGTTTATAGTAGTTTAGATTACAGTAGTTTACAGTAGTTTACAATAGTTTACAATATTTTACAATAGTTTACAATAGTTTACAATAGTTTACAGTAGTTTACAATAGTTTACAATAGTTTACAATAGTTTACATTAGTTTACAATAGTTTACAATAGTTTGCAATAGTTTGCAATAGTTTACAATAGCTTACAATAGTTTACATTAGTTTACAATAGTTTACATTGAACTAACTTTTTCAAGCATTTTACAACAATTTACAATCTTTTTACAATATTTTTAAGCATTTGTGTCAATTTTTCTATTTTCTCCATGATGGGTGATAGACTTTAAGCATTAAGATTGTGTTCAAATGCCTTGCCAATATCATTGTAAAAACACCTGAATAACATTACAATTGAACAATAATTTTTTTTTTCAAAATTAAGTGTCCATTAATCAATCTTAAAGGTAATAGCTTTGAATTTTTTAACTTATTAATATTGGCTATTTAAGATGAATCATAATACAAATGAAATCAACGTGATCTTAGTGGAGCCAAAATTGACAGATTACAACGGCAAACTTAGCATGTTAAAAAAAATCAGTTTCAAATCGTGAATGGTGTTAACAAAACGTTTTGAATTGTGTTCAAAAGTCACGTTTTAGTAAGTAAAATAGCAATTTAAGCTAATGGTTAAGCAACTTTTAGGTGAATTTAATTTCTATTTTCAAATAAATTCATATTTACAATTTTTAAAATCGGATATTCCCAGAGTGATTTTAAGAATCAGGAAGTATCAGAGTATTAAGAAAGAGACGCCATTTTATACAAAAATAATCAATAAAGCCAATGACTGTGAAGGTATGTTTCGAAACAGATAAAAATAAATCAATATCTGCACTCAAATTATTGTTCTTGAAATTAAGGTTTACTGAATATATAACAAGCAATGATTCAACAAAATAATTATCACATTAATACCTTTTAAATATACTCCATTAAGATGCAAAATGAACTGGATGCATTTAAAACTGATTTAAACATTTTAACACTGTCGAAGAATATGTTTAAACAAACATCATAACACTTTACTTGAGTCAAAAAAATTGAAATTTTTTTAAGTAGTTGAATTTTAAATTCAGTTCCTTTTTACCTAAATTATGTTTCTACTTTGTTATTAATTAAAAATGGAAATATCTACTATAGATCGAAGTTATAAAATAGACCTGAATTACCGTTTTTAGTTTATTTTGTCAGTGAATGCGGGAATTTAAAAAAAAATGTCGGAGATGTTTGTGTCATTGTCTGTTTAAAAACATCGCTATTTATACTGCCACTTGATGGTGTATTCCATCTCATTGTATCACGAACAAAATGTACATAACCTGTTATATGTGTATTGACATATAAAAATATTCAAGATAAATATGCCAATCTAACCCTGCCCTATCACATGTTGATTATAATGTGAGCAGACGGGAGTTGGAATACAAGCTAACAAAACTATACATATAACACAATTTTAAGAGAGATATATATAGATAGTTGTATGGGTTGTGTGTTCATTTACTGATACAACGATACTAAATACAAAAATAGGGATTTTTAATGTAGGAAAATTGTAGTCTTTTTTTAATTGAACGAATGTATTGATTACAATAACAGTTACTTCCAGTAGGCCTATAGCAAAAACATTTTTTTTCTTGACAAATTCATAATTTGGATTTGCTTTTTTAATAAGATAAATATTGAATTTGTCTAGTAAATGTATTCAAGCCTTCATGTTTTAAATCGTTAATTTTATTTGTGTCAAAGTTCTAGATTTTAATTACATACTCAACAAGAACAATACGTTCATCTTTTCACAGAAAATGTAGGTATGCAAATCAAACAATACATTTTAATCATACATCTAGCGCTCACATACAGAAAAGATGATGATGGCATTGAATTAGATGTGTAATGATGACTAAACAAATAACATATAAACCATTATAGTTTATGTAAACATGTAATCTAAACATATAGTAAGTTGTTAGCGTGTGTTTAACATGGTGGTTACATATTTTATTGTTTTGAGAATTTACCATCTACCATGTTTTGTGTTGAACTTCTATAAACTAACGATTGTAAAACTACTCAAGTCGGATAACTTTGCGTCTAGATCTGCGTGAATCACTTCAAAGTAAAGTTCTTGACCTTTCTTCATGTCAACAACCACTGACCCAGCAGTGCTTGTAGAAGCAGAATTCACTACTATAGCCTCCCAACACGTACCTCCAGCCATCACACCAACTATATTCAGTTTATCTTCATATTCAATTAGAGTTACACAGACAAGGTATAAACCATCATGTGGTGATACAAATGTTCCTGTTGTTTGATCAAAATGTTGACCGTTATATTCACGTACTTCTTTAAACTTTGAAATAATTGATCCAGTACTGACAGGTGTGGGATCAGCAAACTGTACATGACAAGCATATCTGTTACATACACGTGAATCTGTTGATTAGAAAACATATGTATGATGTACATGTTGAATTTCATACATGCTCTGACTATTTGATTCATACAATGTATATTTACATTTTTCTTTGAAATTGTTTACATAATTTTCTCTAAGACAATTTCAACTGTTTAGTATAGCCTCAGTTTTAGTTTTTTAGTTAAACACCGAAGACAATTAGCAAACGATTCTACAGTGTAACAAGTCACGTAATAAGTCACCAAAGTAAAACAAACTCTATACTTGCATTCATATCCGGATGCGTTCACATTATAGTTTAGTTATAGAAGGTTAACATATCACAATAAAAATCACCTGAACTATAGTTATTCTGTTTTACATATCAAGGTCTGACAAAACCGATGACAAGATATGGTCTGGCTAACGAACATCACGTTATGGTCTGTCTTGCTAACGAACATCACGTTATGGTCTGTCTGGCTAACGAACATCACGTTATGGTCTGTCTGGCTAATGAACATCACGTTATGGTCTGTCTGGCTAACGAACATCACGTTATGGTCTGTCTGGCTAACGAACATCACGTTATGGTCTGTCTGGCTAACGAACATCACGTTATGGTCTGTCTGGCTAACGAACATCACGTTATGGTCTGTCTGTCTAACGAACATCACGTTATGGTCTGTCTGTCTAACGAACATCACGTTATGGTCTGTCTGGCTAACGAACATCAGGTTATGGTCTGTCTGGCTAACGAACATCACGTTATGGTCTGTCTGGCTAACGAACATCACGTTATGATCTGTCTAGCTAACGAACATCACGATATGGTCTGTCTGGCTAACGAACATCACATTATGGTCTGTCTGGCTAACGAACATCACGTTATATTCTGTCTGTCTAACGAACATCACGTTATGGTCTGTCTGGCTAACGAACATCACGTTATGGTCTGGCTAACGAACATCACGTTATGGTCTGGCTAACGAACATCACGTTATGGTCTGTCTGGCTAACGAACATCACGTTATGGTCTGGCTAACGAACATCACATTATGGTATGTCTGGCGTCTGGCTAACGAACATCACGTTATGGACTGTCTGGCTAACGAACATCACGTTATGGTCTGTCTGGCTAACAAACATCACGTTATGGTCTGTCTGGCTAACGAACATCACGTTATGGTCTGTCTGGCTAACGAACATCACTATATGGTCTGTCTGGCTAACGAACATCACGTTATGGTCTGGCTAACGAACATCACTTTATGGTCTGTCTGGCTAAAGAACATCATGTTATGGTCTGGCTGGCTAACGAACATCACATTATGGTCTGTCTGGCTAACGAACATCACGTTATGGTCTGTCGGGCTAACGAACATCACGTTATGGTCTGTCTGGCTAACGAACATCACGTTATGGTCTGTCTGGCTAACGAACATCACGTTATGGTCTGTCTGGTTAACGAACATCACGTTGTGGTCTGTCTGACTAACGAACATCACGTTATGGTCTGTCTGGCTAACGAGCATCACGTCATGGTCTGTCTGGATAACGAACATCACGTTATCGTCTGTGTGGCTAACAAACATCACGTTATGGTCTGTCTGGCTAACGAACATCACGTTATGGTCTGTCTGGCTAACGAACATCACGTTATGGTCTGTCTGGCTAACGAACATCACGTTATGGTCTTTCTTGTTAACGAACATCACGTTATGGTCTGTTTGGCTAACGGACATCACGTTATGGTCTGTCTGGCTAAAGAACATCACGTTATGGTATGTCTGGCTAACGAACATCACGTTATGGTCTGGCTAACGAACATCACGTTATGTTCTGTCTGGCTAAAGAACATCACGTTATGGTCTGTCTGGCTAAAGAACATCACGTTATGGTATGTCTGGCTAACGAACATCACGTTATCGTCTGGCTAACGAACATCATGTTATGGTCTGTCTGGCTAACGAACATCACGTTATGATCTAGCTAACGAACATCACGTTATGGTCTAGCTAAAGAACATCACGATATGGTCTGTCTGGCTAACGAACATCAGGTTATGATCTGGCTAACGTACATCGCGTTATGATCTGTCTGGCTAACCAACATCACGTTATGGTCTGTCTGGCTAACGAACATCACGTTATGGTCTGTCTGGTTAACGAACATCACGTTATGGTCTGTCTGGCTAACGAACATCAGGTTATGGTCTGTCTGGCTAACGAACATCACGTTATGGTCTGTCTGGCTAACGAACATCACGTTATGGTCTGTCTAGCTAACGAACATCACGTTATGGTCTGTCTGGCTAACGAATATCACGTTATGGTCTGTCTGGCTAACGAACATCACGTTATGGTCTGTCTGGCTTACGAACATCACTTTATGGTTTGTATGCTCGTACGTCCGTGTAATAGAAATGAAGAGAGTAAGATATTTAGAGAGCGTGAGAGTGGGCGGTAAACAAAGGTATAAAACATTTTACTGATTGGTTAGCATTGAGAATTATTTGATAGCTTTTACTATTGTTACATTTAAACAAAAAAATCAATAGATAGAATTGTCATTAAATCACTATTGTTATATAAATAAGTTTTAAAAACTTTTTTTACAAAGCAAACTTACCTATGAGATGAAAATCGTTAGACAACTTTGAAATAGTATGTTCAAGTTCACCCATCTAAATTAAAATAAAGGAAATAAATGAAACAATCGCATATCTACTGACCCACTAGCTTCAATAGATAATGGTTACTTTTAAGAAAAGGAAATGATTTATTGTATATTCTTATTTAATTATTAAAACTATTTATCAGTGCATTCCCAATAATTGTGTACATTACTAGAATAATTTAGAATTTATCAATGTTGCAAATGATTTTTTAAACAGTATTTCAAACATACCTTATTTAATTTTTCTTCTCTAGTTTCCAAGTTCTGGTTAAAGATTTGAATCAGTTTGTCAATGGGCATCAATCTTTGTTGTAGGAGTTTGTACATCACATTGTTCTAAATGACATACGATAATAATTAAAGATTTCTACAAATAACTATTTTTGTTGCATATTAAAACTAACATACAATTAGCATTTATATAAAAGTTATGATTATAGGTTAAATTAGTCAACTGCCCCTTTTAACAATTTGAAGTAAATTAAATTGCAAGTAATAATAGAACTGTGGACAAAAAGCACAGCAATTTTAAAATATACCTTTGATTGCAGCTTTTCAAATTGGGTTGATGTTTTGACAATGTTTTTTTTATTTTCATGTTGTAAGGAAACAATCAAATCAGAATGGCTTTTAATTTCTTTTTTCATACTGTCTCTTATATCTTGCATCTCTTTGTTTATTTTGCGCACTTTGTTTTCATATTCTTTCATATCTAGAGTCAGTTTCTCTAGTGTTTTGTTTGACATGGTTTCTTTTTCTTTTAAAATTTCAATTTCTTTGTTCAGCTCCTTTACTTTGTTATCTTGTTCACTCATTTGTTTTCTAAGATTTTTAAAATTCTGCTTTTGTTTTTTAGTCAGTTGTTCAATGTTTACCCCCAAGTCACTCTGTTCTGTTACAAAGTTGTCTCTCCATTGTTTTATTTCTGATATGTCATCTATAGACTTGTGTTGAGTGACCCGTAGTGAAGATAGTGTTGTTTCAATATAGGCGAGTCTACGCTCTAGGTCAGGATGTTCTTCAACTGAGAATAGTCACACATATTCAGTTTATGATTTTAAAGGAATGAAATGTTGGAAATTAGGTTCTTTAAAAAACAATACACAAAAAAATTAAAGTAGTTTTCTTTTTTTAAATTAAAAAGTATCAAACCGTACAAGCTTTAACATTGTATATGGCTTATGATGCAGCTACTTAACTCGTTATATTAAACAAAACTATGACATACCAGCTGTGTGTTGAACTTGTGTGATGAGTTGTCTTGGTGATTCTACTGTGAGAAATGTTGCTGTTGTCTGTGTGTCAGGCTGTGGTAAAGATGGCGTTGGTTTGTTGACATCCTTGTTGTCTTTATCTGGTGGATGGGGATTTAAATTTTATTTTTTATTGCAGTTGAAGTTAACAAAGATTTTGTTGTTGTATACAATATGTTTTACTAGTTAAGCTAGTTAAAACTATAATGTAATCTATTATCTAATGTAATACTCTGATGAAAATAAAAGTTGAACATGAGCCAAATGTATTGAAAAAAAGTCTTTTTAAATGTCTAAGATATATATATATATATATATATATATATATATATATATATATATATATATATATATATATATATATATATATATATATATATATATATATATATATATATATATATATATTACATATGCTGTTTTTTTTACACGGATGTTTAACTAATTTATGAGTAACATGTGTTCAATTATTACTTAACCAAAAGTGTTTTTAAAAACATACAACATTGTATATTCCCTTAAGGCTCTTCAGCACGGGCGGAACTACCATGCCGCCAGACCCAGCAATTCGGGGTTGGGGGTCAGTGCGTTTAGGGGACCCAACTCCGACCAAAAAAACAATACATTTTCTTTTCATTAATGTTTTTGTGCACCTTGATGTTGGATTTGTAAAAAAAAACAGGTCTACTATAGCAGTGATTGTTCTACAGTTACCAACACACACTGTTGCGTAGAAAAATATTTTATAATCTTCAAGAGCTGGTTTGAAAGATGGGCAAACGTTCACACCACTTCCATGACTTACTGTCGTTCTTTAAAATACGGGGTGCAAACAAAGCTCATTTAAATAGTTCTTTACTATGTAAATTAAAAAGCAATGGATTCTGTTGATTATAATTTAAATAAGACATGCTTAAGAATCGTATATCTATAAAAATGAATGCATTAAAAATTAATAAAATAAATACAAAAAGTTATAAAAATAAACATAACGCGAGAAACCATTGCACAAATCCATCTTACATGTTTTTATACTTTTCACAAGCTATTTTGCCTTTGCTATACTAAAAATGATAAAACATGTTTATTTCATGCCCGAAATTAATTTGGGCTTAGGCTTAATTGTGTCTGGTTTGTTGTCTCAGAATGGTTATGCATTGCAATGAAATAGATTAAATTACACTGGAAATAGATTACTTCAAATTTAGTGAAGCAGGCTACAAATATTTATAAATAAATAAATAAATAAATAAATAAATAAATAAATAAATATATATATATATATATATATATATATATATATATATATATATATATATATATATATATATATATATTAATTAGGGGGCCCCAAAATCTTTTTAGCGGCGGAGCCTTGTTTTTGCCTAGTTCCACTACTACTCTTCACCTTTTCTTAGGTTGAATAATGTTACGCAATTTGATAGAATAATTCTTCACTTTTTTAAATGGATTTACAAGATAGAATAGTGGGATATGATTTTTACATAAAGCAAAACTTATATGCTTATGAGTGGACAGTGAAATTATATCCTTTTTACATAGTTTTTGCTAGATCTGTAAACTAAACTAAAAATCAATTTTGTCGCATTTATTCAGCTGAAACGTGTGAATACGTAATATACAGGCTACATGATCATAGACTTTTAACGTTCTATAAAATCGTAATGATCTTGAAACTTGATATATGGCCAATAAGGCTACAAAGTGTTATTGTAAATTCTTCATTTTTTTAATATAAGGATTTACAAAATTCACTAATGTAATATAGAGTTTATATGAATTAAAAAGCGGAAACTGGTTTTGTAGTTCGTTCACAATGAAGTGCAGTTATATCCCTTTAACACAGTATTTGTAATATCTGTAAACTGTAAAATAATTTCGTTGCATTTTCTCAATAGAAACGAGTCAATACTAAAAACATAGGCGGCTACAAGACCATAGGCTTTTAAATTTTTAATTAGAAATTATAAAAACTATCAGAGTATTGACCTAAAATATGTGACGTCACATCCAACAAGGCCGTGGCTGCTGTGTCCAGTTCTTGTGATAGCTCGATGTAGCTGACAGATGATTGGTCAGTTTTTTCTTCTAGCCACGCCTTACTTTTTGCAACAACCTGTGAAAGCAAACAACAACAATATTTGAAAGTGGCCACGTGTTGTCGTGCAGTATTTATAAACAGTCTGTCTTGGGTTGCATTTCTTAGCAAATGCACTTCGTAAAACGCTTATCGTCACATGTCTACATTATCCTGTTCAAAATGCATTTACACTTTAAGTGTTACGATAATTTCTTAGTTGATATAAACTTACATTTTTCATATTTCCTATAACAGGTTCCAGAACTTGTATCTGTTGCTCCAAATATTTCATGTGCTCTGTTACAAGCCTGACCTGAATTCCTGAAGGCATCTGAGTAGTAAATGTTTAATATTTTATACATTTTAAACTATGTAACAGTCATACAATTTAAATAAAGATTTTTCATTTAAATCCAGCCTCAACATTGTTATTAATCAGTTGTTTGTTTCTATATTACCAATGGCTAAGAATAATTTCAACTGATTAATTTTCTTGAATTCCAGTTATTAGTTGCTAATTTATTCAGAAAAAAAAGGCCTCTGTTCAGGGCATATGTTACCGTTGTCCGCAACTATGTCTACGCTCATCAAGTTAAGTATATAAATACGTAAAGAGTTTGTTTTGAATTCGTTTTGCTTGTGAAATTTGCATTAGCTAAAAATACTGATCTATAACAGCGATATATGAGCTCTACTACATTATAATTTCCCGTTTCGCTAAAAATATACAGCTTGGTTTTCTCGATTTTCGGTTTCGATTGCCAAACAACAATTTGGTGACAAATTTTAACTGTGAATAGCGTAAACACTCTATGGCAAAGTACGTTTTTACGAAAACGACTTGCGTATTTGTCAAATAAACGATTATAAAACTAAGGTTAATAAAAAAAAATTAAATTTAGAGTACATTTTACACAATAGGGTTACTATAGGCATACTTAAATATTCATAGTAGATTTTATATTATTTAAATATAGTAGATTTATCCATCCGTTTTAAAACAAAATAGTTTGTTTGAAATGTACTTTTTATTCCATTTAAAACTTTGTATATTAGCTTTACCTTAAAATGATGTTTTTGACGAATCGAAGTAGGACTAAGTATCATGAGCAAGAACTCTTCCTGCTTTAAATAATATCGGGTGTTCCCGAAAAGCGCTGTCAGTTTGAGAGTTATCTCCCATTTATTAATGAATTAGCTACTGTAGATCAAGCACAACACAAAATCTATTTTATTAAAACAACATTCTATCGAAAAGTAAGTGAACAGTTGTAGATATAATTAACATCAACGTGGATGGGGTAAAATGCGAAAAATAAACGCGGTACGTCGATGCAGTAAAATGCAAGATTGAGTTTAAAGTTAAAGCCGTCGTTTACGTGACATTTTTGTCTCGTAGTTATAATATTTCACTCGGACTCTCGTATCTGCAGTCAGTTGTTGTTAAGTTTCGCATGCATTTATAATCACTTTATCTATTACTTACATGCAGATGTCTGAGTACAACCCCACCCATGAATCTTTGAACATTTTGTTGGAAACGTTAGAGAAGATGCGTGTTCATGTACAAAGTACTTTAAGTGATTTTATCAAACAGGTGAGTCTTATTTATACATAATGTTTATAAAAAGAAAATATATTTACTATATTCTAAATTGAACTCATGTGAATTACAAACCTGTATCTGTTTCTATAAAAGCAAAGAGGGGAATGTTTGTTACTCACACCTATTAGGTCGGGTACTTGCAGGTAAGTTGCAGGGAAATTGATCTTGCCAAAGTTTGCTGTTCGACCTTTTTTGTAGTCAACTCTATAACCGAGTTTAAAGTGATCCTTTCTTCTTCTTCTTCGTTCTTAATTATTAGTGTTGGAAGGGATCGAGCGTAATCTGCCAGAGGGTTTGAACTCGAGACTTTTTCGAATTTATCAACCATGAGCTTTTGCCAACTCGACCACTCCTCCATCACAATTAAGGATTCATGTCAACTGGTTATGCGCCATTGAGGCCATTGATTTCAGCCTGCTTTTCTTTTTGGATTTGTTTCCATAGCCTTTGTCCAACCAAGAACAATCTACAGGGCAGCAGTTGTTTGATTTTGGAGTTGTCTCTCCTAGAAGTGTGGCTGTCCCCAGCTAACGAGCCTCATCTGCCCGAGGGTTCGAACACGTGACTTTTCGGTTTAGGAACCATGAGCTTTACCGATTCGACCACGCCGATCCTTATAAAGTGATTCGAAACTGACCTAGAATGACCGCGGTCTTATATAAACTTAATAGTTTTTAAAGTGCTTGAATTAGATCCACCACTTACAGATACAACAAAATGTTGAAACTTGTTAAGGAGATAGCTCTTTATCGTAGGCACCTGGAAACATTCCAGATTATTATAAATGTCAAATTAAGGGGTTAATGATTAAACGCTTTTACTAATCAATTTTATTTGTTAAAGGGACGTAACAGCGTCAGTAATTTATAATTTAATTTTGCCCCTTTCTTTGACAACACACAAAAAGAAACTAAGAAAACACTCGGGTAAAACAAAAGTTTCTTTAAATATATTCTAAATGATTTTCAAATAAGTCCGACAATCAATAAAAACTATCAAGTTTAACCAATCAATGATACCTACATAAAGGGATATAACTGAGTTAGGAATTTAAACTTTTAATTTTTTTTGCAGTTCTTTGATTACGATAATAACATGTAGGCCTAGATAAAAATAAATCCTTTAAAATTTATTGTACCCAATTCTTAAGTAGGGTGAAACTTAAACCGTCTATAATAACTGATATTTAAAGAAGCCACTTGCAAGACCTACTAGGTTTACTCTTTGAAAAAAAAAGTTATCATATAAACTTATTTATTTAGGGTTAATTTAAGTAAGCTATTAATTTTGTTCAGAAAGTCAAATGTTAAACAGTTACACTTCATATCATGTAGATGTTCCGACATTAGGTTCAAAAATGTATACTTTAGAGAAACAGTCAATACGAGAATTGTATTAAGAGACGAACCAAATCAAGCAAAAGATACAAACTACAAAAACCAGAATTCCAGATCAAACTAAACGCCCCCCACCTAACTTCATCCCCCGTAATCATTTTTTAGACGGCCTTTGATTTCTCCACAATATATGAAGCGATCATGTATTGTTTTGTGATGGTATGTACTTTATTGGGAATTTAAAAACAAGAGATTAATAAGAATAGAACATTGTTGTGTTTTCTGTATGCAATACTATGTATTTCATGTATTTTAATGCATTAACATGCAACCGGTCCCCACTCCTAATATGTACACACACATAGGCGATTCTAAATCTTAAACGTGTACACAAACTACGATTTAGTGGCTATATAAAAGTACACAGAACTAACCCACAATAACCCGATGGAATGACTGGACTATCATACGCTGTTCTAGCCCACATTATATACATGTACACAAACATGTACACAAACAGGTACACAAACATGTACACAAACAGGTACACAAACATGTACACAAACAGGTACACAAACATGTACACAAACAGGTACACAAACATGTACACAAACAGGTACACAAACATGTACACAAACAGGTACACAAACATGTACACAAACAGGTACACAAACATGTACACAAACAGGTACAAACTACCTATGATTTCTCGAGTTAATCAAAGAGTTGCTGATGCCATATTTTTTTATTGGTTACGAAAATAAAAGGTGTTTTACAAACCCTTATAACAAAAATTGTTTTTATATCTCCGTCTAGAATACTACACTTAATCATATCCTTACATTATGACAACATATGTGTGTCACTGCATGAGTAAATACAAGTTTTCATGCGCACATATACACATATGTGCACATATACACATGTGTGCACGTATGTGCAAACAATTATGTGAACTCTAGTGTGGTTGTGTGAGTAAACATCAGACACAAGTTTGGTTTAGCTCACACACAAGATTTGGTTTAACTCACACACAAGATTTGGTTTAGCTCACACACACACACACGATTTGGTTTAGCACACACACAAAAGATTTGGTTTAGCCCACACTCACAAGATTTGGTTTAGCTCACACTCACAAGATTTGGTTTAGCTCACACACACAAGATTTGGTTTAGTTCACACACACACACACGATTTGGTTTAACTCACACACACAAGATTTGGTTTAGTTCACACACACACACAAGATTTGGTTTAGCTCACACACACAAGATTTGGTTTAGCTCACACACACAAGATTTGGTTTAGTTCACACAGACACACACACAATTTGGTTTAGCACACACACAAAAGATTTGGTTTAGCCCACACTCACAAGATTTGGTTTAGCTCACACACACAAGATTTGGTTTAGCTCACACACACAAGATTTGGTTTAGTTCACACACACACACACACACACGATTTGGTTTAGCACACACACACAAGATTTGGTTTAGCTCACACTCACAAGATTTGGTTTAGCTCACACACACATAATTTGGTTTAGTTCACACACACACACACACGATTTGGTTTAGCACACACACAAAAGATTTGGTTTAGCCCACACTCACAAGATTTGGTTTAGCTCATACACACACGATTTGCTGTAGTTTACACACACAAGATTTGGTTTAGCTCACACACACAAGATTTGGTTTAGCTCACACACACGAGATTTGGTTTAGCTCACACACACACAAAATTTGCTATAGCTCACACACACACAATGTGGGCAGACAACGCTAGTTCTAGACGTTGTTAAAGATATAAAACATATAGATATATACATAGAACAAAATAAAAGATGGTTCTTAACACTGGTAACGATATGGAACAAATAGAAATAATGATCACATCTAATTGTTAAAACAAAATACAACACCAACTGAAATATTGACAGAAGAACGTTGTGTTTGTTTGCAGTTAAATTTCTTCATCTCAGCCTATACTCATTGAATTTGTGAGTAGATCTAGGATGTTTATAATTAATTTGCATATTTCCACATAAGTGATACAGCGGCGATCTAAATTGTGATATTGGATGGTTTGTCTCACCGCAGAATTTTGTATTACCTATCAACATGATGTGCTCTCTATGGCACGCTAAAACTGTGTTTAAACTGCTTTTATTTCTGGATGTTCGTTCATAGCCTTTATACTTCCAATAACAAAGTACAGGGCAGTACTTTTTATTTATGTATGGTGTTTTCTCTGCTAAATGTCCCTGGTTAACGAGCATAATGTTTTATATGTGTTGCAAGGCTCAACAAGAACCATGGGTATCGTACACTAAAGAAAACAGGTCAGAGCTAATTGAAATGTTGTAAACATTTGGCTGTAGATTTGGTTTTCACATGGGGATTTGTCTTTATTGAGAGCTGTGGCGAACATATGTTAAATAACGTGAATTATGTTCTTAGCAGTCATGACAGATAATGTTTGTTTTGTAAAAACAAGTCAGTTATCGTCGTTTATTTTCGTATAGCAAATGTCCAAAAAAAAGACGAAATAAAATCATACTGACGACTACTCTATCCACTCTGAACCAACTGACTAAAAACTAAATATCCCTAATCAAAATCAGCCCCCCCCCCCCCCTTCAACATATATTACATCCCTAAGATAAATCTAGGCCTGTATTTTTATATTGTTCTAATATTTTACAAGGCGTATTATTTCTTCAATCCGATGTTAATGTTACACGAGATGTAACTTTCTACCTGCCTAATGTTTCTTACTTTTATTTAGGTTTGTAACACAGGAGATAATGTAGGTAACATTTAGATAAGTCAATGGACAGTGATACATACCAAGTATATTCTCATATATATATATACATATATATATATATATATATATATATATATATATATATATATATATATATATATATATATATATATATATATATATATATATATATATATATATATATATATTCGCAGAGAAGTAAAATGTATGTAAAATAAGAGGTATCCGATATGTTTATTTTAGTCAAGCAAAACATTAATTTGTGATCAGTGTTTCTTCCAGACTTTTCCTCGGGGGACGGGGAACGGAGGGGGACTTGAAATTTTCGTTGCGGTCCATGTGGTAGGTGAAGTAGAGTTCACCTGTTTTATTGACATTGGCATATGGAGAGAGAGAGAGAGCGATGCTGGAATAATGCGATCATATAACGAGTTTAGTTTTGAAATAGCATTGTAAAATATTAGGAGAACATAAAAAATAAACAACAGGAAGTGAGGTGGTGGACCACGTTCCTGGATACCACCAAAGAAAGGTCTTCACAGTGACCTTGACAATAATAACACTGAGCATAGACCTACACCTCGTAATAAATACAGTAAGGTTGAATACTGACAAAATACGCTTTACCGTGCTTTTGAATACCCACATTAATGGCATTATACTGGCATTTAGTACCAACAGCAGTGGTATTGAGTACCCACATCTTCAGCACTGAGTATCAACGTCAATGACACTGAGCACACACAGATTAAGCACTAAGCACTCACATCAGTGATACTGAGCACCCACAGCTGAGTACTTATAAGAATGTTATCGATTACCAACAGAAGCAGCGCTGAGTACCCACAACCGTGACACCAAGAACCGACAGCAGTAACACTGAGAACTCACAGCTTCAGTACTCAGTGCACATGACTTCAGCACTCAGTACCCACTGCTTCAGCATTGTGTACCCACAACATCGAGTATCACAGCAGGAGCACCTACCGAAAAAGCACACACTACCAAAAGAATAAATATTGGGTAACAAGAACAATGGCACTTAGTACCAACAGTACTGGCACTGAGTACCAACAGTAGCTTTATAAAGCACATGCTTTGTGTGTATAGCAAACATAGGTTAAATGAGAAATACTTGTCTATATTAGTTGACCTTCAAATGAGTTCACGAAATTGGAGTAACTAAAGGCAGTAGAATCATGACAATAATGCTTCAAAAAATTCATAAGAGTTATACAGTGAGCAGGTAGAGCAGAATTATGTAACTCTATGCCCGAACAACCAAAACTATAGTTTTCATGAATTTTACAAGTGAGTCTACATCTCCTTGCATGCCCATACGTTTTGTTTGTCCTTTTCGTCATAAAGGAAATCGTTTTTAATATAGATGAGTTTATAGCAGCGGAACATGGTTTCGATGGGAACCTTGTGGTTCTGTTGAGGTCAAGACACACATCAGACTCATATGATTTATCCTCGAGTTTGTCAGTGAAGACAAAAGAACAAGTTAAGAAGGTTTCGGATAATGTGCATATAAAACTGTAAGGGTTCTGTTCTACCGAAAAGGCAAAGAACCACTGGTTTAGAGGTAAGTGCAAGCTTATTCGGTCCACTTTTAGAAGA